ATATATTATATATAACTAGAGATTCAAAATTTCCGGAAAAATTGAGTGTCGAAAAAAAACCCTGTTTTTTTCCTGGAAAAATTGGAAAAAAACGGAAATTTTGGGAAAAATTGATATTTTCTTAAAAACTAAAAAAAAATGTTTAAAAATATTTTAAATATATTTTATAATATTTATAAATTATTTTGATTAAAAAATTCCCGTTATGTATAGGCGCCCCCCGGGAGAGGCACCTGTAGGGTCATGCTTTTTAACGATGAAAAAAGCCTAGTTGCCTAGTTGCCGACGGCCGTAATTCACATTAAAATCATTGTTGGTAACTATTCAAAATACACTAACCCAGAAGTTAGTAGCATATTCAATGATTTTAACTTTACAATGGCAACCCTGCCCGATCAGCTGATTAGGAACCGACGCGTCGGACCGATCGTCGTTCGTTTACAGCGTTACGGTAAGCATAAAAACATTTATCTTGTATTAAATATACTTTTTTTATTGCACCCACAATACACAATGGTATGCTTTTTGCTCAAAGCACAGACTTCTGTACTACTGCAAAAATATATTTATTTAATTTCCACTCATTAATACATAAATTATATCAAACAAAATACTTTTTAGATTTTCGTTTTTTTTTTAAATATTTTTTCAATTTTTCCGTTTTTCAATTTTTCCAAGGCTCGGGAAAAAAACGGAAAAAAACACTGTTTTTTTCCAATTTTTCCTGTTTTTTTCCGAACCTTTAAATCTCTATATATAACATACAATTCTTACATATTTATTTAAAATAATCGCTAAAATTACTTTTATTTATAAATTTTAAATTTTTTCAAGTTTACTAATTTTGATCATAGTAGGCACTTTTCTCTATGGTAACCTACCATTGGAAACATGAAATATAATTTGACAGTTCAGTTCATAAGTTGCAAATGACTGATTGCGTTTCAATTTATAAGTGTACTATAAACTCAAAAAATTAATTTATTAAAATGACTCCCTCGTCTTAATTTCCACCAATCACAAACGCGCAATTTTGAATTACAAATGCTTTCTAGGTGAAAAAACTGTGACAGCACCTGTCAGCAATTTTTTCGAGTTTACCCGCGGCAAAACTGGACGGCTGTTGTCACCAAAAATTGCAATTTATATTTTAATTGTTAACTGTTACTCATGAAATAGTCTTGTCAAATACCATTCGGGCATCTAATTTTTCCTGTGAAAAATATCGAAAAAACACAATGCTAAGTAATATTTTTTAACAAAATGCATTCGTTCAGGTGCAAAAATCCTCCTCTTCGACTCGGATTTTTGTTGCCACCAGCACTCATGCTTTTTATTAAAATATTACTTAGCAACGTGTTTTTTCGATTTTTTTCGGAAAAATTAAATGCCCTTATGATATTACTTACGAATATACTAAATAATAATTATAGACAGTGTCAGCAAGTTAGAAATTATAACCTACTTTAATTTTATTTTTTGCTCCACAACCAAGCTTCAATTTATTTTTTACTCGATAAGCAAGCTTCAATTTTAATTCCAAACTGAGGAAAGTAATTTATCTAATAAATAAATTAGAATAAAGATTTTATTTTGCAATCGGCTATTTAGATATATGTATATTTTTTATTCAGTTGTTTTTGGCTTTTTTGTAATTAGATATTTTGCATTTTTTTATATTTAATATAATGCCATACAGGGTGTTTCTGGAGAAACGCAAACGATATGGATTTAAAATTATATAAATGATAAATTATATATAACGATGATAAATTATATATAACGATATGGATTTAAAATTATATATATACATATGCATTTATGCATATATGCATATACAATTTGATTTAGACTATACCTAAAGTCAATAGTTTTCAAGATAATACTTTTTTCCGTTAAAATTTTGATAAATGAGCGTTAATCAAAAATAACCTCTAACTTTTTTGTTATTATGTTTGCTGACATGGGGTTGGAATTTTTGGAATATTAAAACAACAAATAGCTTGAGAAAAACCACTTGAAATTAGGCAAACTTCAAACAATAATAACGTTTTTATTATAAATGTAAAACTCTGTATGTTTTAACATGATCAAATAGAAAATTAAAGAATCTTTCGATTGGTATTATAATAACTGTTTCCTAAAGTTAAAATTTCAGACATATTTAACACTTTGAAGATGGCAAATCATCGCTTGAACTTATTTTTAAATGTAAAATTTACACACAGCTTTGACCAAGACTGACAAAAGAAATTTATTCACAATCGTAGCTATACTTGTTGCTAAGGTAATATAAATTCTTATTAGGGGACATCCATTAATTACGTGAGATAAAAATAGAGAGGGGAGGGGTCTAGCAAAATCTCAACAAATCTCATGTTAAGGGAGGGGGGGGGTCAAAAATCTTATGTCAACTTTTGGGTTTAAAGAATATGTATTATAAATTATTATTATTCAACCCTGCTTAAAATACCCCATAGAGACCTATACAAAATAATCTATCGGGCGCTACCGGATTCTATATGTGCATTTGTCCATGGGTTTTTCCGGATACAGCCCGATAGAAAATGTATAGGAAATTACCTATAGGCACACCATAACTTTTACATTTTCCCTATTGAGACCGATAGAAAATAACTCAATGAAGGATATATAGGGATATCCCTATAGAGCAACCATAAAACATTTGACAAAATTTTATTAAAACCTATAGGGTCCTATAGGGAAAAAACTAATTTCTACATTTATGTGTATTTTCCCCATTGAAACCGATAGCAAATAAATCAATGGTGGATATCCCTATACAGGGTGTCCTGAAATTAGTGCACCATACTTTAACAGCAGATTCTACGTGCAAAAATAAGAAAAAAGTCCCTATAAATATAGGTCGAGAAATGCCTCCTAAGGGAGCTACAGCCCCCGAAAAGGGAGCCCCTGAAGATGGTTTTTATCTAATATAAATAAAAAAGTAAAAACACCCTGTCACTTACTACATGAAACTGTCACCTGTCTTAAATTATTCTATTTTTTCCTAAACATGGCAGCCGTATTCCAAGGACCACGCGAGTCCATTTCTATGGTTGTGATTTAATTGTGAATTTTTATGCCATGTAAAATAATTTTCAAATCGATTTTATGCGAAAACGGTGTATGTTATCGAAGTTCAACAAGATGACCTTTTTTATGTGCAAAACTCTAAAATTTTATAATCTGACACCAAATTCTGGTACAAGATACGTACAAAAAAGTTAAGGTGGTTTTAACCCTACTTCCTATCAATCTGACCCAAACCACATAAAAAATTTTAAATTGTTATTGTTACATCTTATTGGTCATAAAAAGTTTAATTAATTCCCCAAATTTCATTTTTATATTTTTAACGGTTTTGGAGATATTAAATAAAAACCATCTTCAGGGGCTTTCCTTTTGGGGGCTGTAGCTCCCTTAAAAGGCATTTCTTGACCTATGTTTATAGGGACTTTTTTTCTTATTTTTGCACATACAATCTGCTGTTAAAGTATGGTGCACTAATTTCAGGACACCCTGTAGAACAACCATAAATCTCAACTACGAGTCCTATACAAACCGATACACCCTATAGAAACACCATACATCCCGATACAAATATCTATCGGTTTGAACAGGGTCTCTATGGGGTATTTTAAGCAGGGAAATTCGTTAAAAAAAAGTAATCAATTTTTATATTTTGGGTTTATCATGTTGTCCGCAAAGAAAGTTTAATGGCTAAAATCTCACGTGAGGGATAGGGGGGGTCTACCACATCTCACCAAATCTCTCCAAGGGGGAGGGGGTCCAAATTATCAGAAAAATGCCTCACATAATTAATGGATGTCCCCTTACTTGCACCAGGATGCATGCATGCATAATAAATATTTGAGTAAATCAAAAATGTTTAAAAATTGAATACAATCCTGCAGGATTGTATTCAATTTTTAAACATTTTAGATTTACTCAAATATTTATTAAAATTATAATAGTTATAGTTGTAGATAAAATGTTGTTCATAACACGTAGGATACTATATTATTAACGCACTTATGTAATTACACCACTCGCCCTACGGCCTCGTCGTATTATAATATAATTTTGATAAACAAAACCAGAAAAACGAATTTTTAACACATCCTTAACTGTAAACTGAGAACTTGTCAACGGGTGTCAATGGTTGACATGAAAATTAAAAGAGTTGAAATAAAAAATCCCCAATTTCCATGCTTCTAAGAAGCTCCTAGTAGCACTAAAAACGATGCGACTAAGAACTCTTAGTAGCATCGAAATAGACAAATATAATAACAATTTAATAAAATATCTTCAATATGAGATAGAAAATCTTAAATATTTAAATTAAAAAGTTTTTGGAACAGGTGGTTCCTAAACTTTAAAATTAACATACTTAACAAAGGCAATGAAAAAAATTGCTAAAAATTTTGTATTTTATTTTTAAGATTTTTTGAAAACATGGCGTGTACCTCCATTTACAATAAAATTTTATATAGTTTGGAATAACATGCCTTCCATAAATTACCTTACAATTTAATTATTTAAAATTTTATTTGGTGTAAAAACCGCGTCGCTTTTTAATCAAAGTACCATTTAACAGAAATGTTAAATTAAACCAAATGTAATTTCATTGTATTAAACATATTTTAAACTACCATTTTGGAGTTACTGTCGCATTTACGATATACGGTAGATATAGCATATTATACAAAATTATAACAAAACCTTAAAAATAATTAGAAATGTATATTATAATTTAAATTAAAAGGATGTATTAAAAATTAATTATTATTAAAATGCAATTTTTAAGAATATTGGTGTGTTTTATTTTAAATCATATTTTTTAATAAGTGTAGTGTTTTGCAGGTATTATAAAATATTTAACACCTGTCAGGGGACACCGGTATATTGAACATAATTTTGTTGCTGTTACCTAAAAACGTCATCAAAACTTTCTTCTAAATCGGTAACAGTACTATGTAGTGTAGTACCGTAGTAAAATGTTTTGTTGTTTGCCATAAAATTCTTTAATTTAACAGAAAATTGTAGCGCTATATACTTAATTGTATTTATTAATAAAATTTATACATATTATACGTACTTTTTATGTTATGATAGTGGCAAAGTTAAAAGTGACTTGGTTATTTACTAAAGCAGAAAATGTGTAAACATTATGGAATTTCTTTAAAATCCTACAGGTAAAGTAAAAACAATAATAATAATAATAATAATTGCATTATCGTTGTGGAGGACATGCAAATGTAATAATTTGGTTTTTTTATAAGAAATATAAAAATTAATTTATAAATATAAGCAATGGTGTGTTTATTTAAATTTATAAATTGTATCGGTTGAAAGATTTATCATAAATGACTGGGTAAAATTATTTTATGGTATAGTTTTGGTTATATGGCATTTGAAACATTTAAATAATTGAGAAAAATATTAATAATAATAATAATAATTAATATTATTTTAAGGTATAAATAATAATTATTATAATTGGACATATGTACATATGTAGGTACCTACCTTTACATTTTATGACAGAAAAAATCTTACTGTGCATAAAATACAAACATGTCTATGATTTTTTGAATTTTTTTATTACTTTTTAAATACATCTTCAACCGTTACTATCAAATTTTGCCGCTTGTACACATTTATTGTGTATACACTCTAAAGGCAGTAACTATAGTTACATAGTATACATGGATGATGAGGTATAAAAAAAATTATTATTATAGGTATATAAACTTTTTAGTCTAATTTAAATAAATATTTTTAAATGTATTGAAACATTTTTACAACTTAAAAATATAAGACTATGAACTCTTAAGGCCAGGGCCGTCTTAAGCACCCGGGCAATCGGGCGTCCGCCCGGGCGGCCATTTTTTGGGGGCGGCCGTTTAAGGGGAAGACATTTTTTTGGACCTTTATTTTTTATGCGGCCAATAAAAAAATTGCCATTACATGATTTATTTGCCTACAAGTTTTTGTATGTTTAAAATGAGTTTTTAAATAAACTGCGCACCACTCAATGTGTCGCGACCAAAAAGTTCGTCCTTTTTCAAAACGGCATAACTTTTTTGTTTATTAAACGATTTTATTTTGGTTTGTGATGTCTGCTAACCCCATCCTCTGGCAATTCATGCTATAGATATTAAGCCCACGGTTCTTCAAGTAAATTTCCTACAGGGTGATATGTAAAACGGTGAAAAATTTCAATAACTTCATCCAAGCCCCGTTTGAAAAAAGAAATATTTTTTCTTGTTTTCTCTTTGAAATAATGAAGAAGTATGTCTTACCTTGAAAAGATTTTCAAATTTTTCAAATTGGAATCTTAGCAACGAAAATCTGATTTTTTTTACAAAAGAGTACATTTAAGGCTTTTTGGTAGGCAATACACTCAGTCTTTTTAAGAACAATAAAATAAGATGGTGAAAGATTGTTCCTTGAATAATTCTGAACAAGCGACAAGCAACAAACTTCCATTATTTTCAAAGGGGCCCCAGTAAAGACCACTTTTTCAAAATGACATTTTGGTAAAAATTTGCGAAAATTAAACCTGAACCGATATTTACGTTCGTGACATGTTTTCTTTATAATTTTGACCTTCTGATTGTGATTCAGTTGTCAAATTTAAGTTTCAGATAAAACCAAAATCACCAAGAATCAAAATTCGAAAACAATTCCCGGCTGTTAAATGTCTAAATAAAATCCGAAAAAAAATCATATCGTCGTGACTAAGATTCCAATTCGAAAAACTTAAAAAAAGTTTTAAGGTAACACTTAATACTTCATTATTTCAAAATAAAAACGAGAAAAATATTATTTTTTTAAAAACGGGGCTTGGATGAAGTTATTGAAATTTTTCATCGTTTAACATATCACCCTGTTGGAAATTTACTTGACGAACCGTGAGCTTCATATCTATAGCATGAATTCCCAGAGGATGAGGCTAGCAGACATCACAGACCAAAATAAAATCGTTCAAGAAACAAAAAAGTTATGTCGTTTTGAAAAAGAACGAACTTTTTGGTCGCGACACATTGAGTGGTGCGCAGTTTAGAAGTGCGGCTTTCTTAGATCTTAAAAGAAAGCCGCAATTTTTTTTTAAACTTCGATATATCGTATATGGCCATTTTTAACAAAAATACAGTCATTTGAAAAATCGCTCAAATTTGAAATAAATTTTTGATCCTTTAATTTTTTCCACTAGGGTACATATTATAAACAAGTTATGTTGGGTTTTTTTCCCAAATTTGTATTTTTTACTTTTGCTTAATTATTAAAAAAACCTTAGAGACGGCCCTGATTAAGGCGATGCTTTTTACTTTTCACCTAAAAGTTTTTTGTTACCCTAGTAAAGTCAAATCTTATAAGGAACCTTATTAAAAACTAATAATAATAAAGATTCCTTATAAAGAATTACAAATCCTATAAAACTAAGAAAATCTAGTAAAAAATACTCTACGGATAATTTCTCGACCACCCTGAGAAGGCGACCAAGATACAAGGTCCACTTACTAGGGATTTTTCGGATCCTTATAAAGTTGTACCTTTTAAATCTTCGACCACAAAAACCCCTTTGATTTGGGTCTTTGTTTCTGAAATATTTGCTCAAAAATGTTTCCTCGCAGAGACGCTTTCCGTCAAAGTTTATAAAAAAACTCGTTTCCCCATCATAACTTCTAAACCACTTAATCAATTTTTATCAAATTTTGTACACAATATAGTCAATGTCTTAGTAATGATGTGGATAATTATTTAAAAAAACATCAGTTGCGCAGTTACTTGGGGGGTCTCCTCTTTTCACCTTAGGCGCCACTGGAATTTTTTTTAATAATAAACACATTTTTAGATTATCTGTTTAATTTAGAGAAAAAAACTACTCATGTAAAATTTTGATTTAGTGCTTCATTTTTAAAATAATTAATTTATTTATCCAATGCCGCAGTTTTTTTGGAGTGCGAAGCCCTAAATTAAAATTTTAGCACAGTAGTTTTTTTCTTCTCTAAATTGAACAGACAATCTAAAAATGTAATTTTGCGAGGAAACATTTTCGAGCAAATATTTTAGAAACCAGACCCAAATCAAAATTTTACAAGAGCAAATTTTTTCCATTAATTAAAAACTTGACCTAAACATTTATTTATTATTTTAAAATTTCCAGTGGCGTCAAAGACTGAGGTGAAAAGGGGAGCAGCCCCCCAAGTAATTGCGGCATTTATTATCTACATCATTATTAAGGCACTGACTATATTACATTGTGTGCCAAATTAATTTTGTGGTTTAAAAGTTATGAAGAGAAACCTATTTTTTTTAAGAAATGTTTTTTTATGAAAGTCTACCTTATTTTTGATGCTTTATCACCTATTAAAATTAATGTATTACAAACTGGACCATCCTGTACAATAATGAGTGATAACGTTTATTATTATGCCACCAATTGAAAAAAAAACGTTAAATTTATTATATGTCTAATTTCAACCTTGAATAACTATAAAAGAAGTGAATTTATGAAAAAATTATAAGAGACATTTTTTGTAGAGCGTTCAATTTTCTTTAACCACCGGCCTCGGTGGTGTAGTGGTTAGAGCTCCTGGGTACGAGCCGAGAGGTCGTGGGTTCGAATCCCACTTGGGTATGGTTGTTTATTTGTGTTTGTCCATTGTGTATAGTCCTTCGGAGGGGACTTTAAGCCGTCGGTCCGTTCCTACCCCTAACCCGCACAAGCCATTCAGTTGGCTTATGGGACATCTTAGTTTGGATGTAAGGGTGGAACTAAAAGAGCACTTTTATTTATGTGTCGACTATTCCAATATGTTCACTCAAAAACGAGTTATAAAATTTCAAAGTTAAGAAAAAAGAATTCCTGTGTTATTTAAACGTAAAATAGAAATTCATTCATTAATATTAAGAGCTACAATTTTCACAGGCTTCTTTTTTCACTACTAGGAAGATATTTCAATGCGGGCTTTGAAGAAAAAAAATATTCGATTTTTTTGAACTAGTCTAATATATATATATATATATATATATATATATATATAGGTAAGTGCAAAAAAATAAAAAAAATCCTTAATTTAAAACAGTTGGTTTTGAATAAAAGAAATACCTGCGATTTAGAAAATTTAATTAAGAAATTAATTATTCAATGCGCGTTATAATGAATAACAAGAATATTGTGAGGTTAAGTAGGTACTCTTTCATTAAATATTTTGTAAATATAGTCCCATTTGTAACAGATGCTTTCTTAATTAAGACATCAACAAGCATTACCAAGTTTTTAAAAAATGAAAATTATGGTTAAAGAAAACTTACCTTTCCAGAATAATTTAAACGTTAATTCTGTTCAAAGAAGATAATGTGACGTCATGCGCATAAACCAAGACTTTTCCGAAATTTGTCGTTTTTCTATGTTTTGCCCTTTTGTTTGTGAGTGATTTGTTAGCTGTGCTCTATTTGTTGATCCTGAGCAAACATGTAAAATCATTTATGTAATTAATAATATTTATATTACATATTTTTTGATTGGTTGTGTTAATTAGTTAATAATTAGAGAGTAATTAAAGATTATACAATATATAATAATGAATTTAGTAACAATAGGATAAAAAAATTGTTTTTTTTAACTCGGTATTGTGAGGATACCGCGTTTCGTTTGTCCCCTGACTAGGGTACCTATTTCTAAATAAAAATTCACTTAAAATCACAGCATTTAATTTTATTTTTTAAAAGTTCCTTATCGAGTTTATTCAAAAAACATATGATAATGATTTTTCCTTTATTTATTCATGCAAGCTATAGCTTAAATATATTTAACCATATTTTTGACTGATGATCCTTTAAGAATATTAAATTTTCTACAACAAATTTTGTTCACTCATTTAATTTAAAAAATAAAAGAAAATGTATATTGCCAAGTTAATTATTAGCGATGAAAACTTAAGTAAATATATTGCATTGCTTCTAAAGGATTACCATTCCATAGGAAAAAATGGGTTGCACAGTGTATTTTACAAAATCGCAAAATTCGAAAAGTGATACTTACGATTAAACCCTTTCGCCGATCTTTGTATATGAAAACAAACTTGCCATTTTTACCTTCTAATTTGTATCCAAAATATAAAAAATTATATTCCATGAAATCTACCCTGGCACGTAAGGTTTCTATTGCAAATTATAATAAATT